ATGGTGGTAGTTTCAGTACATACTTTTGACTCATTTGACTACCAATGCCTACCAAAGTGATAGCGATGAATCAACATGATAATAATAATTACCGGTGGAAACATCTACCTTCACTAGGTATATGCTGCTCTGTGCAAATTATGCAGGAAGTACCATTTACGTCTACAATTATCTGCAAACACTCAAGCTTCTTAAAAATAACACAAAAATATGAATTTAATGACAGAAATTAACTTATGTGAAGAGTACACTTGTAATATGCACTTTACTCCTCAGTGCAGACTATGAGAATTAGGAGACAGATATTTGACTGTCTCCTTCTACCTAGTCTCAATTTTGCTGGTTGGAAAACAACCACAACAGAACTCACAAAAAGTGATAGGTGGGATACTGTGAACGCCAGTCTGTAGTCCTGATGCCAGCCGTATTGCAGGAGGGTGAGAGACGGCCCCAGAGGCAGATATGTAAAAACCTTTCTCATTAAAAACTTAAAGTATATTTCAGTTCATAAAGGATTATTATTTTTATAAGAAAAAAGTTAGTTACCAACATATATAACACAAAAAATAATTACATGGATTAAATAGGTCAAACAGGCCAATACAATACCATAGTCTCACCTATTTGACAATGATACGATCTACAAGCTTCTTTCTTGCCCTTACTGAAAATATCAACAATCTGACAACGTCAGCCCTGCTATTTTGGCCAGCTGGAGTACTGTGGCGATGAGAGAAATTAGGCGACACTCGCAGATAGGATTTTGTGGATATCCGTGTAAGTTCGTAGCGTACGACAAGTGCGACCTAGACGCGACACGTCCAGTTGATATCTCTCCAACTTCCAAGAGCAAATAAAGGTACGGGGAAATCTGTGGCGCATGATATATGTACTAATGTGAGCGTAGAATTAGGGCAGTTGGAAGCGTATACATAAACTACCGACAAAAATTTAAATATACCTCCACTCCCTACATCCCCAAGCCACAAATTCTAAAATTTCAAAATCTGCAAAGAAAGCTTTCTCGTCCTTGGCACAATAACATTGTACTTACCAAGCTATAAAAGGGCCAGAGATTTGCGGACACAGAGACAGCCAAACCGACGGAACGAGTGACATGGTTTTTCGTGATATATATATATATATATATATATATATATATATATGGCATATAACGTCCTAAAACATAATATCTCATTTTTGGAATTTTTGCGATTACAATACTCGCCAGTCGGCGTAGAAAGTAAATCACTTTTAACAACACCAAAGTTATCGGCTTTCTAACCTAATAATTCAAAGAGGAGAGTGTCTTGTGTATAACTTGTAACTGAACCGTTTAGTCTAAACGGAAGTACTACTTGTAAGTAACACAGCAGATGTTAATCCAGCATACCCTCTCTATAAACCATTATTTCTCAGGCTGTCTAGGAATGATCGCATCGGAACAATAGCGGCCTGCGGCATGGCGGCATATCGCCCAAGGTACGACCAACAGCACAACAGCAGCGGTACGACCTCTAGACCCATAAATATACATGAGCTGAAGACCGTTTCCGATCGCTGATTGCCAACGGTACGACCAAGAGATTAATTTGTAAGGGCAGGTGGATGCCCGCCGCAGAACGCAGCAGATAGGTTAGGTCGTACCCATCGTCGGCATATACGCCAATGTTTATGAGAACTGCTTTTGCTTTGTAGGCATTTACATACTGAGATGAAATAGATTTAACCTTCATATTTGTATCATTTGTATCTAGGCAGGTAGTGTTTGGAATCTTGGCAAAGAGGCTGGTTAGCACTTTTTTAAGCAGGTCTCAAATAGTTTATATTTGTCCTGTTAGACCAAAAAAATTGACACTATATTATTTTCTTCGGCGATCATTGAGCTCTAACGTCATACCATCTGTGAACAGCAGCTGACGCTCTAAAACTTTTAAAACTTATAAACATGACTGTCTACTAGTTTACATGATAATATAGTACCTATCTTTATTGCAGCTCTGTATAATGTGGCGTTTTCCAAACGTTTTCTGGCAGTTCGGCAACACCGCTTTAGTACATACAGAGCCATCTATGTCGATAAGGGGCATACCTTATGTTCGGGACATATTTTACATTTTACTGTGCAGATCGGCTTGTTTGAATTGGACGTAACCTACCGAATCATCACCGTACGATTTCCTTGCGGAGATGTAACAAGAAGTACAATATTAGATAAAGTTGTTCAGGGGATATAATAATAATAATAATGTTTATTATCACAAAATACAGGTAAATATCAAATATTGTGCACAATAATCATAAAGCACCCAAAAAAAGTTTGCACTTGTGTTTGGGTTTGTTCAAAATAAAAACGAATACCTAGTGTATGAAAAAATAAAAAAACCGTTAATACTGTATAATTTGGTGAATTATTGTAATGTCAGGAATGGCAATGTCAGGAAAAATATCCAGACAATTATAACTACAGTGTAAGTAAAATATTATTGATTTTGATAATGATTTTTCAGATCTACAATTTCGTGGATGGAGTACCTTGGTTGTTGTAAAATCCATTTTTTTAGTTCTTTTTTAAATGATTTATTTGATTTAATTACTTTTAATGACTCTGATATGAAGTTATAGAATTTTGATGTTTGTGGAATAGACATTGAATTTTGATTGAATCTTGTTGGGTGTTGGGTAGTTATGAATGGTACGATCCAAGTATTTCGAATATTTGAAACAATGTATTAGACCACAATAAAAATAAATTTGTCTGCAATCTAATAGCTGAGCCTCCACATATAGAAAATCACTTGAATAAGTAATCTCCCTGTGGAGGATCAATTTTAGAATTAATTTTTGGATTACATCATCCTTTTTGTAATTAGTATTCATAACTCCCCCCAAGCCAAAATTCCGTAAAGTAATACAGAATAAACAAGAGCATAATATAGATTATATAGATATTTCTTATCTAGAATATCTCTGAAGTACCTGAATTTTGGAATAATACATATCAGTCTCTTCACAAGGTATGGGTATCCCATTTTAAGTGTTTGTCCAAAATCAAGCCTAAGTATTTTATTTTATCGGCTGACTGAATCTCTTTGAGACCACTGCTTGTATGAACTTCAAGTTTTTTAAATTGTGGTGAGAGCCTGTCGTTAGAAGAAAATACTATATAGTGGGTTTTATTGTAATTAATTGTCATAGTTCTTTACGAAAAGAAATTTATAAATGTTTGAAATCATGTTCGATTGTGGTTTTTAGTGTATGCCACTGGTTGCTTTTATAGAGAATAGCTGTATCATCCGCAAAACCGGTAACTTTACCAGTACTACTTATTTTGAACAAATCGTTGATAAATAGATTAAATAAAATGGGTCGTAATACTGAGCCTTGAGGTACACCGTATGATATAATATGGGGTTCACTGAATGTGTTATTAATTTTGACGCATTGTGTTCGATTTGACAAATAATTTTCTATAAGTTTGTATGTTATTCCCCGGAAGAAGAAGTTTTCTAAAGTTGTTAAAGCGATTGCCTTTGCCAAGTCAACAAAAACACATGCGGTTGGTTTGCCAATATCGAGATTCGTGTATATATTACTTGTTAATTTTACAATAGCATCTTGCGCAGATTTGCCTTCTTGAAAACCATATTGCTGTTCCGCTATTAAGTTATATTTTTTGCAAATTCGGTGAATCGTTTTTTTAACACTTTTTCAAATATTTCAGAAAAATTTGTTAAGATGGAAATCGGTCGTTAGTTGATGGGTTTTTCTCTTTCTCCAGATTTAAATAATGGTTTTACCATAGCGTGTTTTAAACATGAAGGGAATATTCCTTTATTCCTACAAGAATTTATCAAATATGACAGTATGCCGCAGATGTTGGAATTTATTCTATTGAGAGTGTATGCTGTTATATTATCTAGACCTGGAGATTTTC